TAAACATTTTTATATTTTTAACTTTTTAACGCCAAATCTCTAGAATGATTTAGTGTTTTTAAATTTGTCTTAATTATGTAGTATTTTTATATATTTCTACTTTCTACTTTTACATATGTTATGGCGATTTTTAAATTGAGTTGAGTGCACAGTTTTTAACTTCTGTTTGGTTTTTCAAATGAATTTCTGTTATTTTTAATGGACAATAAAAGCATCTTGAACCTTGAATAACAATTTAAGTTAGGGGTGTCTTATAAAATATTGATCTGCTTCTGCAATAAAAACAACAATAATTAGGCCTATAACAAATTAACAAAAACAATATAAAAATATAAAAATATCATTAACACAAATAAGAATAATATAGTAATAATAATTACGATAATAATAATAATAATAATATAGTAGTAGTATAAATAGTAATAACACTTATAATAAGATAATAAAATAGAAGATGATGATGACATGATGATGATAATTTCGGTGGTGGTGAGGATGATGAGGATGATGAGGGTTGATATAGCAATGGGTCACCGAACACCAAGCTGTACGTAAGAGTAAATTGGTGGGCTGTGCGACTTTAAACTGGACAAGAAGAATGATGTTTTACTACTGGAGTATAAAAGGTTTTACTGTAACTTCAACAATTTCAACGGGAACTAAAAAAACTATTATCATCATATCATAATCATCATTATAATCATCATCAATTATTATTATTATATAAGTAGTAGTAGTAGTAAGAGGCCTAATATCATAAGTTATAAAACCAGGGAGTTGTTATTTAGATAACAATTTAGATTTAGATTTAGATTCTAAATAACAACTCCCTGATAAAACCAATCGTAAATCAACGAGTTAGTTATGTGGCCTACTACCTCTGTTTTATTCTGTCGTATTTTTTCTGATTAAAATAAAATAAAAAAAAAAACTGTACAAAAGAATATCATATTGCCCGCAGTGCTGCTAATTCGTCCCTCATCACTACTAATCAAGAATATCGTAGTTATTAAAATGGTAATAATTGCTTGCATAATCAGCGCACAGTGTGGCTCAGTATCATTTCTCTGTTTACTTTGTGATGTCACATGATCCATAAACGTACCAGCACGTGACCACAACACGCCCGTTCCGCTCAGTCTAGAAATGTCTTGTTTTAAAGCTAATAAATTAGCTGTTGTATTCCTTTTTGGATGTATTTTGTTGGACGAGCATGTTTTTAGTAAACCATACGATGATACAATTAACAATTTTAGGAACATTCAAGAAGTTATTCGTCAAAATCAAGATAGGATCCCTGAAGGCCTAGGCCTAGATGATTTGATGACTGCCCATGGGCAAAACGGCGGTGTCGGAACGCTAGATCCAACACGCGGGGCCCCATGGCCTTTACCCCGCGAGTTGAAAACAACAAATGATGTTTTAATCTTAGTCAAACCAGAGTCATTTAAGTGAGTTTATTATCATGTTTTAAATATGTAAAAAAGTAAAAAATATGGTTGATAATAAAATAATCCTGCATTTGGCTCATCTTTCTCCAGGAGCCCTTATTTATTTATCCATCCATCATGTCTGCAGTGTAAAAAATTTAATGAAAGCACTCCTTTCTATTCACATCAGACCCAATAGCTTACAGTTATTTTTTTAAAATTATAACATTATTATATTTTTGCAATATTTAGGATTATTATTAAGCATCAAATTATTTTCTCTTTTTGTTTTGCAGATTCACGTTTGACAGTAAAAATTGTGATTTGCTCCAAACAGCATTCACACGTTACTACAATGTAATCTTTTATGGAACTCAAGAAACACCTCAAGTCATCAAAAAACAGGCATACCCATGGAGATCACCTACAGCCAATGAAACCAGCTTATCAAGCCTGATTGTCACCATGGAAACATGTCCAGAGTACCCAACGCTGTCCTCAAATGAAAACTGTATGTATTTTTAAAAAAATATGAATGTAAACCTTGCTTAAATTCTAGGGTAGACATACATCTGTTGCAGAAGATAAATGTGAAAGCCATACAGTGAAACCTATTGCCTAAAACTTGCAAGCCAACCACTTTTTTTTTCAATTTTCATAGCAGGTTCAATTTCTCTATAAAAGGTATGCTACTATGAATCTTTTTTACTTATTTCAGATACAATATCTATTGCTGTTGGTAATGCTAGACTCAAGGCAGAATCTATATGGGGTGTTCTTAGAGGTATAGTTAATTTTAACTTCAAATTAACTGTATTATGGAAACTACTAATGCTTTAATAGATGCTCTTCTTTTTTCAAATAAAATGTAGGCTCCCAATGGGAGCGTATGTCTACTGCCAAATTTAATAGAAACGGTGATGTCGAAAGTGATTAATGAAATTTTTTGTTGCAACTCCAAAACAACCGAGTTAGGGTAGAAAAAACAACGGGAAAAACCAGAAGCAAAACATTCTCGACGTGGGTTCAACTGTAGACCTGTTTAACCACTTCTACTCGATTTAATTTTAACTTCCAACTTCCGGAACTGTGCGCCTGATAGATGATGACAAATTGGTTAGCAATGCATCGTACCACACACGACCGAGTTTACGTGTAGTAGAGTAGTAAAATCACGTCATATCACACATCACGAATGTGACATAATGTCAACTTTACACTTCCGGATTCTTACTTCACACTTTTGTGAATGTCAACTCACGCTCACAATGTCAACTTTACGCTTCCGGATTGACCAGGATAGCAAAGTGTCTACTGCCTGAGGGCAGTAGACACAAAAATCAAATTAAAGAATGCAGTTTGATAATCTGGAGTGAAAATAAATATGAAGGCAAGCAACCTATCCATGGACCATAGCTCCACTTCTCTCTGAATGAAGCAGCTGTCATTAAAGATTTATGTATACAAATATTAATATTATCATATATTGTACTGTATAATTTTTTTTTTTTTTTTACTGTATATATATTTTTTTTTTTTTAGGTTTAGAGACATTCAGTCAAATTATCTATGAATCATCAGATGGAGGGGTAGGTATTTGGACAAGGTTATGACAGTTTTTTAAAATACATAAATTTGCTTTGGTATTGATGAATATAATTCTAGACTACATAATAATATATTTTTAAAGGTGTGTCTATTTAGGCTGACTCAAAATCTACCTTCTCATAATGTAAATAATTTTTATTGTTTAATGTAGTATGTTGGGGAAAAAAAGAAATGTATTGTTTGGTACAAAGTCAGAAACTTTGGTATAATATGGTATGTAGCGCTTAAGCTTTCAAGATTCACGATTAATATAGAGTATGGGATCAATTCCTGTGACAGTAAAAGATACATATCTCCACCACCTACACTTTGTAATTAGACTTACTGTAGTTTATAAGACGTCACTTTATTTCATTTATTGTTGAGGGCCCCTGAATATCAGCCAACCTTTCAGAATACGCTGGAAGGATCGCCCTCTATAAATATGATTAAATTACGAATATTTCATCAGACGTGCCTTTCAAGACACATGAAAGACACACTAGTAATGTGATCAGATGGCTAAAACAAGCATAAACCAGGGGCGGATCCAGAGATACAAATACAAAATAAAGAAAGTCAGACCTCTTGCAATTCCGTACTCTTTGCATAAACAATCAAATTATAATCAAACACTCTCTACTAGGTGTGTGGCAGAAAGAATTATGTATACCCAGAGTATAAAACAGATCATTTTATGGACTTACTTCATCTATAAGAAAAAAAACCTATTTGTACACTTTCTAGTTGGCTGTGAATGTAACAACGATTACAGATTACCCACGATTTGCTCACCGTGGCCTTTTGTTGGATACATCAAGACATTTCATTGAACTTCCCACACTACTTGCAAATTTGGTAAGCAAATTAGTTAATGTTAGATTATTACAGCAATATATGTCTAGGTTTACCAGTTTTTTTTAACTTAGTTTTTTTTTCATGATTCATTTTATTGCAATCGTATAACAGATTGGATAATACAACATATTCTAATAGGAATGGAACATAAAACACAGAAAAAAACTAACAAGCGCAACTTCAGTGAAATTTAAATAAGTGTAAAATCGTTAAAAACAGAATAAATAAATTTCTTGAAAATGATTAAAATTTAAATGAAGATAAACAGCAAATTTGATTATTTAAACAGTTATATTAAGGAAACATTGAATTACTTTTGGCAGTACTTTATAAACTATTAGGGTATTACTGTTCTGTATTATTGTAAGTATCATTTAATTCCGTGTTCGACTGCGATATTGGTATTGAATAAAATGAAACGAAAATTAGTATACATTTATAAAAAATTTTTTTTTTTCAGGATGCCATGGCATATAATAAATTCAATGTTTTCCATTGGCATATTGTGGATGATCAATCATTCCCATACCAAAGTTCAAAATTTCCTGAACTTAGTAATGAGGTCAGCAATATTTTCATGTTCATTTTGAAAGCTATCTCTTGAGAACAAACTAATACTATTTTTATGTTTGATTGCCATGCAATCTTCATTTGTTATATAACTATTATTTTCCTGATATTTATTCATTTTTGTAAAGATAATTCAGGATTGCACACACAACATCTCATAAATAGTACATGGAAAAGTGAAATTAAAAACTTCTGAAAATCATGTAATTCATTTTTACTGATTATTATTTCACAATATGAATAATCATTTGCACTATACAAATTAATTTTCAATTAATTTTTTCAATTTCATATTAATTTTCATGAACGCTCTTTTAAATTTTCTAGGGTGCATACGACCAACGGCATATTTATACACAAGATGATGTCTCCCTTGTGATTGCGTATGCAAGAGAACGTGGAATTCGTGTAGTCCCAGAGTACGACACCCCTGGACACTCCCAATCCTGGGGCTCCATCAAGGACCTTTTAACGCCATGCTACAAAGATGGAAAGCCAACCGGGACATTTGGACCTATTAACCCGACCCTAAACTCTACTTATGTTTTCTTAAAGGATTTTTTTGCTGAAGTTGTCGCTAAATATGCTGATCATTATATCCACATGGGGGGAGATGAAGTCAGCTTTGATTGTTGGTAATTAATTGGATTCATTCACAAGCCTTAAGCTTGTTTTTCACTAAACAAACTTATTCGCGCGAATCGAAAGCGTCAGTTCATGCGCATGTGCTTTCAGATTTCTGTCAGAGTTTTTCACTTCAGCGAAATCATTAGTTTGAACTATTTCTACTTTTTGCAAAGCGAAAAAATGCGCAACCAATCAGAGCTCAGGAAGTGAACCAACACTTTCGATTCACACGAAGATATTCACCTAGGGCAAAACAAGCCATAGAAAGCTAATGTCAGTTTAACTGCAATCAGTTACTATTCTTAATTATGCATCTAATTCATCACATATTTCATTCTAAATCATTTACATTCTATTTTTTTTGCCTCATATAACAATGATAGCAATAACAACAACACTAATAATAATGATGATGATGATGCTAATAATAATCATAATTGATTTGTATGACACATACCTACAAATTATATTTATTTTTTACAAGAATAACAAGTTTTTTAATTGCTATTTCATGCAGGAAGAGTAACTCTGCCATCACAGCCTTCATGAAAGAGAAGGGGTTTAATGATGACTATGCTAAACTAGAGGAGTACTACTTGCAGAATTTACTAGAGATAATGAGTGAACTCAAAGCAGGCTATATGGTTTGGCAAGAGGTCATTGACAATGGGGTCAAAGTAAGATCACTTGAATAACAGAATTATATATATTCAGTAACAGGGGAGACGCTGGGGGTGGGGTCCAGGGGGAGAGGACTACCTCTGGACCTCCAGCAATTTCCAGCAAGGTTGTCGGAGAAAAATAAAATTTTGACCGCCGAAAGTACAATGCCTTACTAAGCTGTCAAATTTTAGGGATTAAAAACTGTTTAGTGCAAGCAGTGCTCCGTGTTGTATACTATTACGATCGTATGGGTTGCGGTGGTAGTGCCAGATCTTCCCCAACAGGGGGCTGTTACCTCCCACAGGTGGTTAGTAGCCCCGATAGGGGGGGGCCTCTTAACTTGCATAGTTTTCTATCAAATTATGCTTTTTAAATAAAGAATACCATAATCAACACAATTTTTCCCCCACGGTCTGGACCCCTCGTCAGGGAATTTGTGCAGTAAATGTGTATAAAAAGTGCCTGCAGCAGGCATTCAACCCGTGGTTTTGCTGTCAAGCCAATTGTCTTTCCATTGTCCCACAAAGGCCGTTGGTATACTGCATGGCATAGTCCTACCAGCGACACTTCTTCCATGGACAACTGAGTACGCCTTCACAATGTGGGATGAAAGTGACTAGCATGTACTCTAGAGGTCGCAATGGTGTTTGAAATTAACTCTATCTAACTTTTATCAACTTTTAAGTAAATCCATGATTAGGTAAATATATCTCATGCATAGTAATATTTATTATATTAACTTCACTATAACTTATTGTGTAGGTTAGAAATGATACAGTTGTAGAAGTCTGGAAGGGAGGCTATACTTCAGAGATGGCAAAGGTTACAAAGGAAGGGTACAGAGCAATTTTGTCATCTCCTTGGTACTTGAATTATGTTGTTAACCCATATATTCAAGCCTGGAAAACCTATTATAATGTAGACCCTCAGAACTTTACAGGTAAACCTTATAATGTAGAATTATCACACACCTTTTTGTACCAGTGTGTATGAGAGGAGCAATATCTTAATATGTATACTGCCCTCTATAATTATTTTTTCCCTGATATATATATTTGTCAATGAGATTGGTACAATGTATGTAGAGTTCGGCAATCTGTAATATATCCATATGTTTACCTCATGTCATTTTATGCCAGCAATATTATATAAAATACTAGTAAATAAAAAACAGATTAAACCAAGCTAAAAACAAAATTTTAACTTATTGGCACAAAAAAAGTCATATATGAACTGATTTACTATTATATCCATAATAATACAAGGAACAGAAATAAAACAAAACTGACAAAAAGAATTCAATATTAACAAAGTATTTGTTATACAGGGCTGTTTATACATTTAATATGTTGCTCCTTATTATGCATAAAACTTGCTTGCTCCCGATTCCCGTCATCATTACATTAAAAATTATACCTCATAACTTTCTCTTCATAACCAGATTGGGGATGATATTATTGTTCATGTTTGGAAGACAAAATATCAAAATGAGATTGCTAAAATCACTGCCAAAGGTTATCGAACTCTGGTTTCATCTCCTTGGTATCTAAACCGCCTTCTCAACATGTTCAGTCAGGACTGGAAAACGTTTTACAAAGTTGACCCTCAAAATTTTAATGGTGAGAAGACATTAGATGCCATGAGGTTATAAAAAATAATATTTGGAATAATATTCCACAATGCACCTTTTATAAATTCTGCAACTAATACCTAACAGTTGTATGGATATACGCTTACAATATATATTTCTGAAAAACACCATCCTTATTTAAAACTCTTGTCTTTGAGATTTATGTGAAAAATACCTGTGATCTTCCCATATATGGGCATGGTGTTGTCATATCACACCCATATATGGGCATAATGTTGCCATATCACACCCATATATGGGCATGGTGTTATTATATCATACCCATATATATATGTGCAAAAAAAGGTATTTGTCATATCAAGGAGGAAATAAATTAAATATATATATTTCCTCCATGGTCATATGCAGTTACTGTTGACAGAGCTTACTGTAAATATTTGTTTTTCTCGACACAGACAGTAATCAGCATTGTATGATTGATTATTCTAAAAACCAATATAAAGTCAGCAAATTTTAGCAATGCTAATAGTTTTTTATCTGCTTCTGTAGCTAACTTTGCCTTGGGTGGCAGCATCATAACTTAGTCGGCTAAACTGGTGGTGGTCATTTTGTGTGTGCGCTGAACCGTAGAGATTCTTTCTGACCTTTGGATTCTTGTTCCAATCCATTGCTGCATTTGTTTTGTTATGATAGCGCACTGTTTTTAGCAAAATATTCTATATGCAATATGGTTAATGTGCATGTAAAGTAATTATGCAGTTTCCTCTTTGGAAAACAGCAAGTGATTGTTTCTCTACTGCCAAATTCACTTAAATTGAGATAATTTTATCGTTTTTCACATCACAAACTAACAAAATGAAAGCAGATTGTGTTAGTTTGTGAAAAAGTTCAAAAAATCGTGTTAAAATATGCACTGTTAAAATTACAGATTCTTTGTGTGGTAAAGAATACAAAATTGCTTGACAACCAATACACGCTTATTTCGGAGTGCTTTTGTTTTCACAAACCAACATAATCTACTTTGATTGTGCCAGTTCGTGATGTGAGCAAAGATATGTGTAAAGACTTTCATAGCAAACCTTGGTGTGTTTTACCAATGAGAATATTAAGAAGTCACAGCATTCAAAATCAAGTCATTGAATTATTTTGTCTTCCCTCTTCAATTAACCATCTTCAAAAAAGTAATTTCTGTTTTTACACATTTTGCTATTGATACAGTATAAATATGTATATATTGGGTTTCTTCATTGTCTAACATTATTTTATTGACAACACACTAACGTTTAATTCTTTTAATTGTCAATGAAATATAATAATTGTAGGACAAACTACCAACATTTTAACTTTTTATGTTGATTAATGTAATTATAAATAATCAAGTAATTCTCAGAATTTGAGTATCAAATTTGTCTAATCTTGTAAACTAAATAATTTTCTGTTGAATACTTAAGGAACTGCCGCTCAGAAGTCGCTGGTGATTGGTGGAGAGGCTTGCATGTGGGCTGAATATGTTGATACAACTAATATCATTCAACGATTTTGGTAAGTCTAAATGATAGTGATAATCTAAATTATTAGTACATAGTGAAGTGATGTGCTTCTCAGCCCTCCTATTTTGCTGCAAAATTTTCTTGACATTTTTAAACTACTGCCCTGTGCTCGTTGTATTTTAATATCTTGATCTGCCCTGAATATATCCATCATTGTGTGTACTTGTGTTAGAGAAAAAAAGATTGAGCAATAAATGGAGAAATGTTAAAAAATGTATTGAGTCATTTTGTAGTCCTATTTTCATTTTTGTAGGCCAAGAGCCAGTGCCGTTGGTGAGAGGTTATGGAGCTCCAAAGATCTAACAGATGCTAATGCAGCCACGGGTAGGCTAGCTGAGCACAGATGCCGGATGGTCAGGTATAAATAATTTTAGCATTGTAGTCAATCCATTTCCCTGTAAGCATTATTACGATATCCTTACTTGAGCAAGATCATTGCTCTGTTACCGCACTGCATCTACTGACAACCGGTTGGTGCAGTATGTGTGCTTGGCTTAAGCTCTATAATCAGACTTGTCTTATGTTTGTGTTTTGAATGCAGTGACACAGGCATACGAAATGCATACAGTAGAACGAAAAGAAAAATGTGGGCTGAATATGTTGATACAACTAATATCATTCAACGATTTTGGTAAGTCTAAATGATAGTGATAATCTAAATTATTAGTACATAGTGAAGTGATGTGCTTCTCAGCCCTCCTATTTTGCTGCAAAATTTTCTTGACATTTTTAAACTACTGCCCTGTGCTCGTTGTATTTTAATATCTTGATCTGCCCTGAATATATCCATCATTGTGTGTACTTGTGTTAGAGAAAAAAAGATTGAGCAATAAATGGAGAAATGTTAAAAAATGTATTGAGTCATTTTGTAGTCCTATTTTCATTTTTGTAGGCCAAGAGCCAGTGCCGTTGGTGAGAGGTTATGGAGCTCCAAAGATCTAACAGATGCTAATGCAGCCACTGGTAGACTAGCTGAGCACAGATGCCGGATGGTCAGGTATAAATAATTTTAGCATTGTAGTCAAACCATTTCCCTGTAAGCATTATTACGATATCCTTACTTGAGCAAGATCATTGCTCTGTTACCAGAGTTGCACCCTACATTATGCAGCATTACTCTCATCCTGTAATAAGCTCTTGGATGAGAAGGAAAAAAAAGTTAATTCAATAAAAATTATTATATGATATTGGATTGGATTTATTCGGTGTAAACACCAAGGATAGCCCACAGAAGTCTAGAATACATATTTTCAGTGGGGTCCTTCTGGTGGTGACTGGGCAGTACACCGGGAGACAATCTCCTACTCTTTCCGAAGAGTGTACTGCATTCTTTAACATGAACATGGGTCATAAATGCACATGGGACCAACAGCTTAAAAGTCTCATCCGAAAGACGGTGCGCTATTGTAAATTGTATTTCATCCCCTCCAGCTGAAACACAAGGAGAGGCAATGATGGGAACTGAACCGGGGACCAAGAGATCTCCTCTTTTTAACGCACACACAATGGTTACCATCAGATTAGCCGACTGAGATAAGCTGCTCTTTTAAATTATGTTCATAAATAATAAAGGGAAAACAATAATGAATGCAATATTTATCATTCATATTTAATAAGTATTTTAATAATGTGTATAATAATAATATGTAGTTGACAGTATTGTGGAGCAATAATGTGAGAGAATTCTGTGATTGACAAGAATGCATAATACTATCATAATTCTTCGAAGAATTTCATCTAATCCTTAGTTAATTTAGTGTAGTGTTTCTTTAATATAAAATGTAGATTAAGATGTGAAATTCTCATACATAAGTTTCAAATCTTTAGTCTGTATGTTGAATAAACAACATTATACTACCATAATTGTTTTTGATTTATATTTTCTAGGCGAGGAATCCAAGCTGAGCCAGTGACAGGACCTGGGTTTTGTTCCTACGAATGGCATTCCAGAAGTCATCAGTACCTGCCTTGAATTACATTAAGCTATGAATTATATTGTCCTTTGTGTAACCACAGATAATATTTTGTTTTGAGTCATTTACATCAGTTCCTTAACATGGATTGGATTATTCTAGTATTTTTTTAACTGTTGCAGCTAACTTTGATGTATTTAATAATCTTAGATACCATAATGATATGTTTTTCAGTGATTCAGAACACTAATATGATTAAGTTAACAAACTTATGCACAACATTCCAGAAGTCTTCAGTACCTGCCTTGAATTACATTAAGCTATGAATTATATTGTCCTTTGTGTTACCACAGATAATATTTTGTTTTGTCATTTACACAAGTTCCTTAACATGGATTGGATTATTGTAGTATTTTTTTTACTGTTGCAGCTAACTTTTTTGTATTGAATAACCATAGATACCATAATGATTTGTATGTATTTCAGTGATTCAGAACGCTATTATGATTAAGTTAACAAATTTATGGACAACATTGATTTATAGTGTTCAGGTATAATTTAGTATCATTTAAAATAAATTAAATAAATCTATTTTATACAAAAGTTTAAAAACTAATATTTTGTATGTTCACAAGTTGCTCTGCATTGTGAATAAAAAGATTTGATCTAAAAAACACGAAAAATATTCAATTGTTTGAATCGCTTAATTTGTAATTTAAAGTCTACTAATATCTTCCAGATTTACCAACAGACTATGCATAAGAGTATTGTCTGCATAGACTTAACTTTACTGGTTAAATCAAAATTTTTTTTATAATAAATGATGTGCAATCGTCAAAAACTGACTTAGAGTCTGTTTCTGCTGAGCAAAAAAACATGTTTTTAAACGGTTATTAAAAATGTGTGTTTTCCCCCAGCAGAAACGGGCCAAAAAACAAAAACATGGTTAGGAACGCGTTCTAAAAATGCGTGTTTTAACACGGATTTGTTATAGGGTTGGCGTTCAGAAAACACATGTTTTTGGGTAAACTTTTCAGCTGCAACGCAATACCATGTTAGGCATGCTTTAGGCTTACCAGAATTTTTTCATACATTCTTGGCATGGTATTTTCTTCTTTCACAGCATGCGCTGTAGCCCACAGCAAGTAAGGTCAACTTCCACTTCCGTAGGTGATCGTCATTATAAGCTCCGCCCACCTACCAATGTTCGCACACTCAAATAGTGTCAACTATAATAGGGGTTGGCCATAGTGTTAAAAGATATATTTCCCGTTTCATGGAAAAATGTCCACTGTATTTATGTTTTTATGAAGATTTACACAAGCACAAAGCAAACAAAAACATATCAACAAAAACAATACTTGCTTGCTGTTGCATTGATTTTCATTCTTCAGAATGCAGACATTTATCTATTGAACACATTATGTGAGTCATGTTACATAGGAATTTGCTATCGGAAAGTAACACCAATGATATCGAGTTGAGCGTCTACACGATGACTTGACTCCGATAAATACATCGGTTGTACCAGATTAGAACTGACCTGAAAACTGTGTGCATTGTTGTTTGTTTTGAAACCTTTTGTCAAAGTTTAAAATGTATGTAATTGATAAAAACAACATTTTTAAGTACTACTGCTGTATTTCAAAAAATGTTATTTCGCACTGTTTCTCATCTCAGTTAACTCTGTGGCAATGTGGAGTTTACTAAATCATTGGAATTGCTGATGTGTTATCCAGATTTACTAACCACCTTTACACGGCCAGTTAACACCAATATCATAAGATAGGTAAATGCCTTAATCACGATGATCCTCTGCTGTGTAAACATGAGGCAATTGGCATGGTATCAAATGTCCTGGTAGCTCACATTTGTAAAGTATCATCTAATGCCGGCCAACACAGGAAGACACAATGCAACAAGGTATGCGCAACAGATCGTTTTTAATAACAACATGCTTTAGTCTGGTACCGAAGATCTGCACACTGTGTTGAGTTAAGCACTCACAGGCAGCCGATAGGGGTTTCATAGGCCGACAGTGATATGACACACTGTGCACTGGCTTAAAACATGTAGCACATTTATGTAATACACTATTGCTTCAACATAAGTGTGTGTGTATTTTTATTTATTGCCATCATAACTTGTATTAATTTAATAAAATAAATTATGGTATACCATAGTATGAAAGTTTAAAATGGTAATACTGTAAAAATTCTATAAAATTGAAAGACACTTTTAGTATTTATCATGCTCTCTACTGTTCCACTCCTGCGGACAAAACCCTGGACCAGTTATGCTTTGGGCTTGCAGACCACGCCTAAAAATAACAAAATAAATTGAAATGATTAATCTGATTACTCTTCATGTATCTTAATATTGTTAAATAAGAATAAATACATGCCTAAAATATGTTTGGGTTGAAACTATGTGCAGTTTTTGTGAAAGAATTAAATACCGCCAATTTCAAATCAAAGGCGCTGAGCATTCTTATCCCTGGTAACAGCAAACCAGGGCAAAGTGCAAACTTCTTTGCTCCCAAAAGGAGTATAACTAGTTTTGCGTGTATTTTCTGTGCACAAAACTAGTGCAGTCAATGCCACAACATCCTACCAGGTACCCATACTGCTGGGTACAGAGAGACAAATATAGATAAAGTGCCTTGCCCAAGGACACAAGCGACTTGCACACGAGAAATTTTGTCATGGAGACATTGTGGCTGTCTACGTATGCCAAATTTGTTTTCTTACTGATACTTACCATACCAGTCTGCACTTGTGTTCTGCAAGACGTGAAGCTGCAGCTTTTGGATCTCTTAAATCCTTTGGGCTCCAAAGCCTCTCTGCAATCACACTAGCCATTGGCCTACAAAATCAGGAATCAAAAACTTGATCTAGTTCTAATAACTGAAATGCATCTTCTAAACTTAAAAATAGTTGAGTTGCTCAAATATTTTTCAGTAAAATAAAATCTCCATAGATATAAGTAATCCAGATATCCGAAACCTTGCAAGTAAACGTCTGTTCAAAAATATTTATATATAAAAGTGATATTAAGTACTCTAATCCTTCATTACGTCACACAAATGGAAAACAATGTGTAACCACATATTCCTAGAATCCAGTGCAATGAAAGAACACTTCATAAAACATTTTACTTCCTAACCTCTGTCCACACTATCAAATTTTCTTTTACAAAAAACTGTTGTATGCCCATATATGGTCATAATGTGATGTCATCATCACCATATATAGGCATGTCACATGTTCTTGTCAAATAAAATGTCATAGTCTGAACGGGGCTTTACCATGTCCTTGGTATGACATTAGTATCATCAACATATTCTCCCCACATGCAGGCCTCTCCTCCAATCACTAATTTCTTCTGATCCTTGGTACCTTGAAAGAAAAATAAAATTCAGTAAAATAAAATAAATATGTACATAATTATTGATAGGAAGCGCCTGTGTACAATACTGCATGTGTACTTTACGGACATGCATAATATTAATTCACCGACTGCTAATTGTGCTTCACATCCTAAATAGAATGTAAAGATGCGAGAAATCATTATCTACATTAGTTAAAGTGAAAATATCTTTGTGAAAGTTAAAAAAAAAAAAAGAGTGAAAAACAAATAAAAAATTCTTTAGAAATGATCTTCCTCTTTGTGTTCTCTTATCCTAAAATTGCCACATCATTATACTCCGGGCTGTAAGTGTATTAATTATGTTTCAATTACAGTTAAACTTGCCTACCGGTAAGTCAAATAGTTTCTAAGTCAATCTTGGTGTATTTTCCATTAATTAACAATCTGTAAGTAGAACAATTTTTCAATGGCATTTTGGATTTGACTTAGGCAAGTTTAACTGTATATTGTCGCTCACATCACAAACTAACACAATCAAAGTAGATTGTATGTGTTAGAAATCACAGTAGCGCGTCAAAATGAGTGCGTATTGGTTGTCAAGCAATTTTGTATTCTTTACCACACAAAAATTCCTTAACAACAACAGCGCGTATTTTGACGCGCTTTCTTGATTTCACGAACTAACACAATCTACTTTGTGTTATTTTGTGATGTGAGCGACGATATGAAGAACACACTGAAAAGGTACTGTACCTGGAAAATTTTGAGGGTCCACTTTATAATACTTTTTCCAGGGATCAGTATGAGGGTCTTTCACACGATTTAAATACCATGGCGATGATAAGATTGCTCTATGGCCTTTTGCTGTGACTTTTGCTAATTCATCTACATACCCTCCATCAGCATCCTTCCACACAAGTGCGATGGTCTTTTGGGGGACCTGAAGAAAAGTTATATAATTTTCATTTATCGTGTGAAAATTATATGATATAATGATCTACTTTTTACACAAATTTTTAAACTACAATGTTCTTTTTAAAGCACAATGTTCTTTAAAGCAATAACAGTACAAATAATGACACAAATATCAAAAATATGTTCTCTTAAATTTTCTAAAGCACACATTCATAAACTTATTTTTAAAATTCTATAATGAGATGATATTGTCATATTTACTTGGGTATGGAGTTAACTGTGGTCATATTGCTATCTTCTTTCGAATTTTTCACTGTACTCTCAGGGGTGGCGTCTGGATTTGCCCAACAGGGGGCCGAATTTTCTGACGAGAGTAAAGTTGGCATGACCGGGCATCGCTCAAAATCTCTCGAAAATGTTCCAGGTGGCTAAGCTCTCGAAAAATATGACAACTTAGAGGTTTTAAATGCTTTTTAATCAATTTTAGAGTCTAATAATATGTAGAAAATACACCCCCACCCCCAATGACAACACCCCTGGGTACTTTTTTGTATTGTTTTCCTCCTCCTTTTATCTAAAATTCATGTCATGCCTCCTGTTGTGTGGTGGGTGGTCTGCTGTAATATTTTACAGTCGTTAATAACAAACCTTAGCACCAATATCTATAACCTCCTGCCAAACGATGTAATCTAATCCAACTTGATCAGCAAGCTGTGTTATTCTCTCATCATAGTACCCCTCAAGTTTGGTGAAATTGTTATTAAACCCTTGAGCTTCCATAAATGACACTATCCTTGGATTACTTGCCCTGTAATAAAATTGACCACTTGGGTTAATAAATATCCACCTGAGTTAACAAATAGGTTGTATTTGTTTTTTTTTTACACTGAGGAGGAGTAAAAGAGTGGAATGTAAATTTGTTGGTTTCCTTGGCAACATTACATAATAAATGTTGATGTGGTGACTTCGTACAGTAGAAGGGAAGGTATTATGGATAATAATACCTGGGTATTTCCTTTTTATATAACCTTAAAAAAATATAATGTGGCATAGTGGTAGGGATAGGTGGTTAGCTCACGAACGACAGTCAGACAATGAATCCATCAATGTAACACAGTCTGTTGATTGTCAGTGGCATTTTGAGGCGTGCATTATTAAAAACATTGCGTTGCGCATGCCCCGTCGCCAATGACCGTCGGTGCAGTGCATGCCAAGCTTGAGTCTTAAGGTACGTACCAGCAAGTATGTTTCACTTCGTCACCACCTAGATGTATAAACCCATCAGGAAACTTATTTTTAATCTCCTTGTACAGCTCTGTTAAGAACATGTATGTAGATTCTTCAGTTGGATCAACAGGACCAAAAAGGCCATTTGGTACATTGTCTGTATAACAGGGGACTAGCAAGTTTTGAATCCCATGCCATGACTCGGTGTGGCCAGGCGTGTCAAATTCTGGAATGACACGAATGCCCCGTACCCTGGCATACTCTATAATACGGTCAATATCATCCTGAGTATATACATGGTTTGGAGAATATGCTCCCTGAAACAGAATATCCAAAACATTGGTCTACGGTTTATGAATGTAAATTAAATCATTATTATGAAGTTTCTAAAATCATGGTGACCCAATGGTGCCATCTTTGTTCAGTCAAAGATTGACATCATAAAATAAAAGTCTATTTGGGACACAGCATATAAATTTCAAGATTTAATCATGTCCATGCTCATAATTTATTTGATTTGATATTTTATTGTTTTTAATTATTCTAGTAATTAATGCACCCACATATCTAATCTATTCCTGTTATATTTTACCTATTCTATCAACTTTTGTTAATTAATCAAATAAATTTGACAACTATCCAACTCTACCACGTGTTTATGCTAATTTATCTAATCTGAATTTCAGCTGGTAGTTAGCAAATCTTTGAGCTTTCAACCTTATGTAAATCTGATTCTGATTTTTTAATTTGAAATGTTTGAAGAAGAAATCAAATATTATTTCCATAGTATGGAGTATAGATTGCTGGTTACAATTATTATATTAGTTTTTGTTTTGCTGTTGTTAAATTACTTACCTGTTGACTCAGGTTAGGAAAAGTTGAACTCTGATATGGGAAAGACGGATTGTCAACAATGTGGAAATGAAAAACATTTAGCTTGCTATATGCCATGGCATCCTGAAAAAAAAAATTACTTTTAATTTTTATTTTTTTTTTAAAAGTCAACCTCTCAACCTATCTACCTAACTACCTGTCTGAAGTTTCCCTGTGTGCTCACTCCATCTTTATGTCCTATCTATCAATTTATCCACCCACTCATCTATACATTAACCCATCCATTCATCCATCCATTAACCCACCTATTCACCCCTTTATTCATCTGTCAATCTATGTTATCTCACTATCATTTTAAGAAATATTCTTTATACTTTTTTTTTGTGACAATGGTTTCTCAGTTCATACTGTACCTGTCATTACAATCTGTATATGTGAAATCCCCAAGCTACTTATAATTTCACTAACTTTCAGAATTTTATTGGGAGTTTTAAATCATAAAATATGCAAACTAAGCAAATACTGGATATAATAATAATAATAGCAATAATTATAATAATGAAAACTGTATAATTTTGTTATGAACAACTTACAAGGTTTTTTAGTAAACTGGACACATCAAGGAAGTGTCTTGACGTATCAAGCAACAAACCACGGTAGGGGAATCGTGGCCTATCTACAATATCTGTTGCATTGATTGTCAGCTGAGGAAAAAACATTAAAAAAAAGGGCATAAATGACTCATTAGCAAGGTAGCGCTCTACAGTATAATTCCTAAAAGTCTTTTTAAAAAAAAATAACAGTCAAAGCATGAAAACACAAAGCAACTGATTTTTTTATTATTTGAAAAATTAAACGTTTTTACAGTCAAAACAAGACAAACTGTTGCTGGATACACCATTGTGAGATCACTATCAATAGCATAGTAGTACTTACTCGCCCATCTTTTGCTATGTAGATGAGTTGGCTGAATGTTTCCAGGCCTACAAAAGTTAAATATTACATATGATTAATAGGGATGACAATATATCAGTATACTGTAGTGCTATTACAGAAAAATAAGATAAAATACACGCATACACACACACACACATAAATCATAAAACTTTTGGTACACCATGTATTAAAAATTTGGTTTTTGAGGTGAAACCACTGGTTGATTGTCTCAACGTTTTGGTGAGATTTCTCTTACCGTCGTCGGCTCCCTGTCGGGAACCTTGGAGCCCCCTCCCCCTTGGGCAAATCCTGGTGCAACCACTGATTAACAGATCTTTTTTGTATGGGTGGAAGTTATCGGTTGCCAATATACTCTACTGCATCTATTATACTGCCCTCTTCGGTGCTTTCATGATTACAAGAACTTGTTTATATGCAAATATTATTGATCAGCTACGCCAGCTGTTGCCACTAGAATATAATTATTATTATTTGTATTCAATATATATTAAATAATTCCATACTATATAATTAAATGTATGAATAAATTCTACCATAATATGTAGCAAGTATTTGTTGCTATTCAATAAAAAGATGAAATTAACGTATGATTGAAATAGTATGAGTTTAAGAGCAAAAAATAATAATACTGTATATCAATAATGGCTCAATATTATGTTTAGAGTTAAACAAAAAATATTAATAATATATCAATTTAATGGAAAATATCGAATTTACTGTACATTGAGTAATAGACAAATCTAAAACTGAATAATGCAAAAATATTTAATATGCTAACACTGAAAGTAACACAAAATTTGAATTGTTAAATAATTTTCATATTGCTTTGCTCTGTATATTCTACAAATGCAATACATGTATTAAATAGAATTTAAGGAATACCTCGTAGTACACCCCATATCGATTCTGACTCCAGGTTTGATGTATCTTCATGTACAGTTAATGAATCTGTAAAGAAAAAAAAATGATATCACAGTTCAATTTATGAAATTCACCAGACTGTATTTGATGCCATTTTTTATTTAATTTGGTATTCTAAAGCCCAACTCGTTGTACTACGCAGCCCAATATGATTTATCATTGGGGACAGTCTTTAGGTCATCATTAGAATAGTAAAAATGTTTAATAACCTGAGCTATAAAAAGTAAGATAGTTATTTTATCTACATACCGTATCTATTCAAATTTTGAGCATTCTATTTCAAATCCTCAATAATACCATCTTAATTTAACCTGATTTTCTCTTACCTTGCATATCGATATTTATTATTTAAATTGTTTATTTTTCTTAAGTTTCTTTCAATGTTCCTTTTGAATCTATTTTAATTTGTAGTTAAGTTATTCATCTTTGTTGGTTACTGTACCATATGTATATATCTGTTTTCAAAATTTTGTAGTTAAGAACTGAACCACTTTGGAAACCAGTACTATGTATTGAAAGTGTATATTCAGTATAAAGAAAGAATAAATAAATATTCCAATAAATTTCCCAGGGCATATATTGTTAAGAAGGATTTTTGAGGGAGGCATTTATTTTTTTGGTCTAAAATGGATACATATTTATATTCAAGTAAACGTCCCTTAATTTCTTAGTAAATGTGGAACTACAACACATAGTTACTGTCAAAATAAAATGTGTTACTGCGTGACACTACAGATTATTAAACCCAACCAGGTTAGAAAGAATGTAATTCTACTGGAGAAAATATTAATAGAATGTGTTAAGAATGATGTTGCTTCCATTAGTTTTGTTTACAGTCATTTGGGGGGGGGGCGTTTACTCACAGAAAAATAAATGCCTGTGATCTTTACTCGAGGGAGGCGTGTATTCCAAATTAGGCTCTGGAGGGGGTGTATATGAGGCATGTTGTGGCGAAATGGTTAAGTTGTCGCACAGTCCAGTATTGAGTAAATGAGCTATAATATAATATGGGAGCTCAAAAAATTGCCTAAAAATCCAAATTTGTTTTTCACTATAGATCAAGAGTTTAATGTCTTATTACTCATGTCCCAAAGTATTAGTTCTGGAAGTGGTTAACAAATTGTTTATTTAACGTTATTTTTCATAGTTCATTCTATTAAACAATGTATGCACAATTAACTTTGAAAGGCAATTACTCAAAATCATGTTTATCTTAACCCTAAGTGTACTGTACTTTCACTTTCCAATAACCTAGACTTGAAATGTCCAATTTGAATGAATGACCCCTCATTTTAAAGATCACATACTCAGGTATCTGAAAATACCAATAACTTGAATTTCAATTTTTGCTACAACTTAGCCATTTTGCCACAACATGCCTCATACTCAAAATCATGTTTATCTTGACTCTAAGAGTACTGTACTTTCACTTTCCAATAACTTAGGCTTGAAATGTCCAATTTGAATGAATGACCCCTCATTTTAAAGATCACATACACAGGTATCTGAAAGTACCAATAACTTGAATTTCAATTTTTGCTACAACTTACCCATTTTGCCACAACATGCCTCACATTCAAGGGGGGGGGGGGTAGCGTTTATTCGATGCGGGGAATTTATTCAAATATTCAAATAAATACGGTATAATGCGAGACACACAGTTATCTTTGTTACGTTGGAATTTTGTGATTGTTTGCATTAGAACGTTTTGGTCTACAGTATTGCTAACAATAATTTTACATTTTTTGGTTGATTTGTTTTCTTTTGAATCATGTTTCAAAGTAATATTTTTTAAATCAACTATAGAGTGCACTGGCTTTTTGACAGCAAATGAAAGTAGGTGGTACAGTACTGTAATAGAAAGAATATCCGACAATACATTACAATACACCTAAATTATACAATTACTTCAAAGTCCCCTTACATTCTTCGTTAGAATTATCACTTGGATACTCAGGGCATGTTGTCATGGTAACTATCAATGAATTTATCTGTTGTTTTTCACCATCGCCTTTCAAAGGATATGCATCTAGAGCCTCTTGTGAGGGTGCTTCAATTGTCCCATAGAAAATAATGTTATAATAACGCTGAAATGCTTGTTGAAGTAAGTCACAATTCACACCATCGTGATTAAAGCTGCAAGAAAAATTGTGAAAGTCAAATTGTCAGGAACACAACCTTTAATATGCTTTCTCAACATGCAAACATTATAAAATCATACTATTCAAATAATTAAATTGTTCAATATACTGAATATACATTGATTTTTTTTTTTAAATTAAAATTTATATTATATTGCATATAACTTTTAGAAGTTGTAATGATGCTTAAAGTTAAGTAGCTACATCTGGTCAACAACCTTCCAGTGGTGGCACTCGGATATGAGTTTGAAATTAAAACTTTACAGTGAAATTTGCAGAAACGATATCTCACCAAAAAGTTTCAGGAGATACGTTGTACGTAATATCAGACACAGTACGTTGCATAGGCATCGGCCAAGGTTCGCCAACAGTTGAGAACACAGTTGGTTTAGCAAGAGAAGGAATGCTAAACCACGAAATAACACAAATAGATGTGATCGACCAACAGTTATACAAAAGCATCAATAACATCATTATACCCGGCGCCTTGTTTACTTAGGCTAGTCTTGAGAAACAAGATACAGGCCTAGCAAAAAAGGTTCTTTCTAGCCTACAGCAGGCTAGACTAAAAACTTCGACGTGTCTTTAACTGCAGCAGCTCTCCGGAGAGAGTGCGGCAAGCTTCCTGTTTTTACTTGCACAGCCACAACTCACTCAGGCAGAGGGGTTAGTCAACTTCTTCGAGGTTCCTTCCTTGTGTATTCAAATAGCTTACTTACAGTTTAACCCCTTATGGGATTAAAAGCTACAGTGGGTCTAAAATTTCTTGATCTAATATAATACTATCAACATTTCGCCTCCTAGTATTAACATCCAGCCTAGAAAACCTTCGAGTTGTTTTGTTTTGTTTTGTCTTGTCAGAAAGCCAGTGAAGCGTTTCAATGAACCTTTGCGCTAAACCCCGCCTATTCGATAGTGCGAATACATGGCCCTGTTTTGATTGGTCAGTTAAGTTTGACACTTTTGGAAAGGAATACTCTGCCGCCAATATGCGTTATTAAAGTCGACAATTATTATCATTATTATTTATTAACTTGTTTAAGCTTTCGAAATAGGCCTATATTTGTAGACTTAATTGTAGACCCATTTTTATGTGGTAGGTTAATCCATTCTTGTACGACAGTAGCATAATATTAATTTAGTTCAGAGATTCCAATATTAAGTATTATTAGACACTCAGCACTGGTCCTATTGAGTTGTATATTTTGTACACATGATTTAGTTTTAATAGTAACACTAACTCTTCTAATTAACTTTGACCACCACATGACTTCTTGGTCCGGACTGTCCTGTACTGTGAACTTATTTTGCATTAACGTGTAAGGGGCTACGTTTCATAAGTGTTTAGAGCAGAGTATGAGCAATCAATTTACGATTGAATAAGTGCAGATCACTCATGGGTGAGGACAGAGTAATACGACAATAGAGAAATAGGCCTACCTTTCCGTCTGAACAGCCTTGAATTATATTTGAAATAATTAATCGCGTCGACCACGGCCAACGTACGTGACGGCCCCCGTGCGCGTCACTGCCCGGTTTGCAAAAATATGCAATTTTTTGTTTAAAATGTTGTATCGTCGTGTGATTATAGGCCTAATAATATTATCTTTATGAATATGTTTTCGATTTACTTCACCGCAAATAGGATGATATTGCTCTATTGTTATCACTATTTTTGACCTTTCAATAACCACGACCAGTAAAAAGAAACATTTGGCCAAAGTATCAAAGAATTGACATATCAGACCAAATTGATTAAGTCTTTTTATGGCTCTCTAAGTTGTCCAAATGGTGTTTTATTTTCATTCCATATCCCCGAAATTTTAAAAGACGGCGATTTTTCTTGATCCCTCCCGGTGAAGATATGAACCAGTGCAAGGTACTGGGGCCCGGGCCATTCAATAGGCATACTATAGATATAAATTTAAATAAACCTACCTAAATTTTAAAAGGACACCTCAATAATAGGCCTATAGGTTTTAAAGGCCAAAAATATTGATTACGTTCATTACAATTAAACCTAATACGTGCCACCAAACATTGCAAGTACGATGACTTAACGTTTTTGAGAAATCTTTTCAATTTATTCAAAGGCTATCTTCTTTCATTCATCATTTAGGTATTTAAATAGGCCTATGCTTCATGCCAATGTACACGATATACTAAAAGTACTTATTGAAAGCATATTTCTAAGGCAATTGAAACATCGGCAAGCACGTTTTCATTCGATATTTTAAAGCAGTGTTCAACTACAGTAGAACCCCTCCTCTGGGATAACCTCCCCCACCCGCCTCCCCAATCTGGGGACATCTCTGTTAAGGGGATACTTTTAGGTGAAACGAGGGGAAGTATATCTTTTAACACTAATGCTAACCCCTATATAGGGAACACCATTAAGGGGACGGGGTCACTTTCTGAGTGTGCAAAATGGTCAAATTAATACAATTTAACCTCTATTAAGGGGACACTGTTTATTAGTATCGTAAAACATACAGTAGTCTGAAAATAAGGAAAAAATATTCAAATTTATATTTAGACACCTTTATTTATTTTGAGTAATAAACTTGACATCAAACCAGAAATTTTTCCTCTCAATCTTTAATATAATAATATTATTCCTAGTGCATGTGTTACTTCGTATAAATAAAATCTCGTCAATTTTGACCATTAACCATGGGATTTCTTGTTCTGTATATTTTCATATAGGATTCTAATCTATACCATACGACCTGCACCCTAGTTTTTAAGTCATTTTTTTATTCTTGTGCATCCAAGAGAAAGCTCAACATTTAAAAAAAGAATACAGTATTTGGTCATTAACATTACACTCGAATCTGGAAACAAAATGGGAACATATACAACACTTGTAGTTTTAATTACATACCTGTTGATTTCATATACAGTAAATGAAATATTTTTCTGCATTACAAATCATTGTTATTTAGTTATAATTCAACTGTTAACTCATTCTTTGGTCAATTAAAATAAAATGATAAAGAATCTGTCATCATGGTACAAAAACATGCCAAAAAAAACCCTATTAGGGGAACAATTTCACGTTTTTGGTTAGTGTCCCCTGATATCTATTAAGGGGACACTTTTTTTTTGTCCCAAGGGTGTCCTCTTAGGGGTTCTACTGTATATTGTTCACGTTTTTTAATCATGTTAGGTGATCATACTTCATGAATACGTTTTAGATTTACTTCACTTTCATGAAATGCCCAATACGCCCTAAACGAAATAAAATATATATGACTTGACCATTTGTTCTCAATATTCTTGAATATTTTATAGATATTTCTGTGCGTTACAAAGTCGTAAATATCTGTTTAAAAAAATCTCAGAATGTGAGTTTCGCCTAAGTAGACCCCACCCAGGTTGTGTCTCCGAAAGCAATCAGGTGCATTTTAGGACCCTGACTGATGTGCTCCAGACTCGCATTTGTGAGACGGTAAGAAAGAAACTCTGTATCCGTCCCACCGGGCTTCACATTAAAGGGCTGGCAATTATCTTCCACTGGGGCCCATCACTATCTAGCTACGCCGTTGATTCCTCTAGTGAGACAAAACTCACTATACATCAATATCGATTGTTAGTATACTTTAATTGTAATGTTTAATTGTAATCATACTCATTCCTTTGTTGTTCCATTTGGACGCACTCTGTCTTTCAAATCATCATTTTATCCATCCGTTATTTTACTATGGAACAGTCTACCACAATCAGTGGTAGACTCAAAATCTATATCCATCTATATCTATATCATCTTGATGTGTTATTCATGTCTTTCTTTTCTTTTTTTGTGTTGTTGGTCTGTAGTTTAAGTTTATTTAAGGGGGAGGCTAATTATTAGCCACTAGTCAATCAACTATGTGGCTATCTTGCCTCCCCAGTTTTGTACCGAACTTTCATAAAAATAAAAAATAAATAAATAATGTAGTTCTTTGAAATTCACCAGCTTACTTAAAACTCTGGTTTAATACCATCCCATTAGGTCTATTCCACGATTCCTAGTAGGTTCAAAATACAAACAGTTACACCTTAGCAAGATGTATATTCTTGCATTATACTGCTGTTCATAACCTATTTCAAAACACAAAAATCAGTCAAGAGTCACTTATTCTTTAATATTTTTTTATTAAATCTTTTAGATATATCAAACATTATTTTAACATATTTGAGAATTCAGCTAATAATATTGCACCTCTTATTCAGCAATTCAATAACTTGTAATTTTCTTTACAAGGATATCCTGATCCGCCTGCGACATCTTTTCATAGCTTGATAATTCTAAACTGAATGTTGCTGTTCCAGATGTTATTGTCCTCAAAGATGTTGCATAACCCTACAAAAAAAAAATGAATGTACATGTTAAAGTCACTTGAACAGCGTCCTCATTATATCAATATCCATAAATTAGAAACTTTTCAGGAACCACCTGATATTGTTCGAGCTATTTATTTGAATAAATATATATATATAT